ATTCTAGACTGCGGTCAAACATTGTTTTCTAAATGGAAAGCGTAGCCAATTTTAACCTGGCCAGTATGTGCTTAAAAATCTTCAAAATTGACTATAAAAATGCTTTAAATCCGTAACTCATATAAAATTTATGTATTATATGAAGTAGCTGCATAATCCAAAATGTAACTATATAATTTATAACTCACAACTACATAACTTATAATAAGAATTACATGGCTAGTTTTTGGCCCAGGTTTGTAAATCCATTTTACAGCCTGACAACCTGCAGTGATATGTCCTTTTGCAGTACACTAGGGCAGTGACCTCCAGTCCCAGCACAGCCAGCCAGCAGAGCCAGCAGCACACGTGCTGCTAAACAGTGTGAGTCAGACTGCTGGATGTCTGCCACGGGAACCAAAATAGTGCTGGATGTGTTCCTATGTGTGCATTTGAGATTTACTTCCCTCAAAGACAGTCCCTGACCTTGACTGTGGTCTTTTAAGTTTATGGATTGGTAACGGGGGACTGAGGAATGAAAATACTTGAAGTTCCTTACTCTTCATATTTACCACAGAAGATGGCTGCTGCCAAGTATCAGCATCAGCCCGGTTTTACCCTGTAACAGTGCCTGGGGTAAAAGAAATGTATCTTATCAGAGACAGTGGGAAGGCTGTCTTTTAACAGGTCCAGGTGCTTCTTGCTCCGGTAACTAAATGATCTGGAACTCTTTGAGGGATGTGAAGAATTTATTGCTGGAAACTCCTCTCCCCAGGGCATCTACCTCTTGAAAACAGTAGCTACCATTTGATTTTTTGTAGACATGCACCCAATTTTTTTGCTGGTCAAGCAAAGTTGACATGATTTTCAGGACATCCTGCTGAAATCAGTGAGCCTCAGTCATCAGAAAACCACAGAAATGCAAAGTACCTAAGTGCAATATAACAGCAGATTTCTAAGAAGGACACTCTGTTGTCCTGAAACGGTATCAGAGGTTTCAACTTTTAATAACCAGGCCCTAAAATGCCCCACTGTTTCAATTCTTCTCTACATCATGAGTTCTTCCCTGTCCCTCATGAAAGCTTGTATATGAAACTGTTTTTATTGACTAATTATTCAGTTCCTAAAGCAAATAGATGTTAAAAATACAAGGATAAATTTGAGCTTTTTTTCCTGGGACTAGCTTTGGTGCTTATGTTGCATCTGTTACCTTACCTTCCATAAGAGCACAGCAAGCAATAGGAAGATGAGAATTCCCACCAGCAAACTGATGGCAATGATCCATCCGACAACATATCCACGAGGCTCCAGATTGTGCAAAGCCTCAAAGACCACCTACAAAGCAATTAGAAAAAGATCTTTTTATGACTGGAAGTTGTACTGTTTTCTCTTGTACTCATCTTATGAGACACATTGCACGGTGGCCTCCCTGATCATATTTCATCTGTCAAACAAATATGGAATCCATTTAGTGTTTTCCATCTATTTTTCACAAGGGATTTAAAGCTTTCAAGTGGACTTTGAGTAGCCATGTGTTAGATCCAAAGAACATCAGCTTCCACTCCAAAATAAGACCTACCCTGTCAGTCCCCAGCCCCAAACACTGAGCTTGTTTTGGTGCTGGGCCACCAAGGGGCACAAAGTTTTGCATGAAGAACTCCATCCTTTGGATTGGCAGGGATTGCCATGACATCTTGCACAGTTTGTCTTACTCACCACATTTCGGCCCTGCCAAACACCCTGAGGCTTCACATGAAACGCTTGTGATGAGCTGGCTAACTTTTTTTTCACAAAAGAATTCAGACAACTCATACATCCTCATTAAATCATTCCTGCTGTGCTTCACAAGACGCATTGTGTGAACAAGACGCATTGTGTGAACAAGGCAAGGGCATGTGCAGTCATGGGTTCTTCTGGGAATGCAGATAGCTAGCTCTTCTCTCTTTTTCTCTAGTATGTACGGCAGAGAAATACAGCCAACAGAGATCCTTCCTTCACCATCTGTCTTCAGAAGAAAATGTAAGCAAATTATACTATTCCTATACCCTATGTGAATTTTCAGTCTCTTATTTCAATCAAAACCAGTGCCTTAGTGCAAAACTCAAGAACAGCTCTCCTCAGTGAGGGCTATTTCTATGTTAAATTTTGCAATTTGATATCCAGCAAACGCAGAGAGGAAGCAGTGACTTTTTAGATGTAATATATTTACTTTGTCTGGCTTTGTTTTGCAAGACGAAGTAGTTAGCTTTTCTTCCTCCTTCATAAACCACTTTCATCATCTTTGCTTAAAAATGTCAAAACCATTTTGTTGACATGAATTGTTAAATTAGTCTTAAAAGAAAAATTGTTTGCTAAAAGTGAGTGAAAATCTAGGAGTTATAGTCACATACAATTACGCAGTCCCAAGACACTCATCTTTAAGAGGCCAGTGAAAGACCCGTGAAATACATTCACTCACTGCTGACCCTGTTCAAACAGTTTCATTTCTGAACACAATACCATGCAACTCATCTGCATGTTGAAGGTGTGCATTCAGGAAAGGGCTGCAAAAGGAAGGAGATGGCAGCACTGATACAGGGGCCAAAGAGGCCCTCGGTTCTCCAACCCTCCTGGTTTCCAAGCCTCAGAGGAAGCCATGGGGATCCTGAGTGAGTACAGGCAACAGCCCTGCTTTGAGTGGTAGATGGGACAGGACAGCCTCTCAAGATCCCACTAATGAAAAATTCTCTCTTTCTCTAAGCATCCTCAGCAAACAGCCACAAAAATTACAGTCATGGATGAGAGAAAGTGGGTGAGAAGGGCTATATTTTGTCAAGGTGTTCCCATAAAGAAGTAGTCAGAGATCCTTCATCTCAGTTTCACAGGTTAATGCTGATTAAGACCACAGCTTTTCTGGAGAAGAAATCTGAACATAGCTGATTTACACACACTGCTGTTTTCTATCAGTGAGATGTTATCAGGCATTTCACAGAATCACAGAATGGGTAAGGTTGGAAGGGACCAAAGTGGGTCACCTGGTCCAACCTCCCTGCTCAAGCGGGGTCATTCCAGCCCACACTGTACACACTTACATCCAGGTGGGACTTGAATATCTCCAGTGAGGGACACTCCACAACCTCTCTGGACAATCTGTTCCAGTGCTCAGTCACCTGTATGGTAAGGAACTTCCTCCTCAGATTCAGGTGGAACTTGCTGTGCATCAGTTTCTGCCCGTTGCCTCCTGTCCCATTGCTCAGCACCACCAAGCAGAACCTGGTCCATTCTCTTGACACTCTCTCTTCAGATACTTATAGACATTGATGAGGTCCTCTTTCAGTTATCTCTTCTTGAGACTAAACAGGTCCTGTTCCCTCAGCCTGTACTCATAAGAGAGATGCTCCAGTGCCTTAGTCATCTTCACTGCCCTTCACTGCAGCTTCCCCAGGAGCTCCATGTCTCTGTTGTACTGTGGAGCCCAGAAGTAGACACTACACCAAATGTGGCCCCACCTGGGTTGAGTAGATGGCCAGGATCAACTCCCTCTATCTGGCAATTAGTAGCAGGATCATCTCCCTCAGGATCTGACAATTAGGAAGATTAATGCCCCCTGAGATACCATTGGCCACAAGGGAACAGTGCTGGGTCATGGACAGCTTGTTGTCCACCAGGATCCCCAGGTCCTCCCAAGCAGAGCTGTATTCCAGCAGGTCAGTTCTCAGACTGTTCTGGTGCATAGGGTTATTCCTCCCCAGGTGCAGGACCCTGCATTTATCGTTTTTGAACTTCAGACAGTTCTTCTCTGCCAATCTCTCCAATTCGTTCAGGTTTTTTGAAGGGTTGTACAACCCTCTGGGGTATTGGTTACTTCTCCCAGCTTTGTGTTGGCAGTGAACTTGCTGAGGAGGTATCTGTCCATTCATCCAAGTCACTGATGAACAAGTTAAAATGGTATTTTATTTCTGTATTATCACCCAAAATATTCCTGGTTTTTCCTACCCCACTGCACTGCTGGCTGGCTTTTCCATTTAAGTGTTGTTATGCTTGAGGGGACTTCAGCAGTAAAGACACCATTCTCCTATACATCTGTAAATATAGGTATATGCATCCCTTTTATATTTTATTTATTTAGATACACTAAGAAAAGCATTGCAAGTTCTTTAAAAATACAAACCTGAGGTGTCCTTGCAACATGCTTGTCTCTATCCCTGGGAAATTAACTGTATTTTATCGTTATTGTGTATTGTTCTGTTCCTTTACCCAAGTGTGTGCTTCTACCTGCCAGACTGCACTGTAAAGACAAGTAAATCTGTAAAAGGAATTTTACAATAGCAGATGGAAAGGGAAAGCAACAAAATGAAAACCCAAAACATGGTGAAAACAACAAAGCAGTGAGTAACCCACTGGTGCGAGGCTGCTGAGCTGCTGGAGAAAGCTACAGCCAGGCATCAGAAAGATAAACTGGAGAGCTGGTGCCTGAAAATGTTGAGTGCTTCTAAAAAACGAGAGTGGTTGGCGGTGGATTGCTGAGTGGAAGAAGTATTTCCACATGCATTTGAAAAACACTGGGACATCATGAGCACTGTCCAGTCCCACAGGCTGCTCCTTCCAACAGACACGGAGAACAGGCCAAAGTTCTCCATGCTGCAGGCAGGCAGCTAAAGCTTAGGCACGTGAATATGCATTTAAATCTCTTTGCACATAAAGAAGCATATAAAGATACCTTGCAGGTCTTCACAAGCATAAGCTTAATTTTTCTGAGTTTTTCTTTTTGCTATTGTTCTTCCCCAAAATATATATTTGTTTATCATTGCAAACATAAACCTATCTAAATCCTGAGGGAAAAAAAAAAAATCCATGGAGGAGAACCACTTGCCTGTGTTGCACTAATCCTAGGGTGACTGTGCTGAAAATGAGAGAAAAGTGAATTCTACCCAGATGGTAGGAAATGTTCAAAGGCCTGATGGAGCATACCTGTACTTAGCTGACAGCACCAGTTATACAGCAGCCTTAAGCTTTACAGGGCACTATTTTGCAGATGCTTCATGCGTTTTATCTGGAGTTTTCATGCATTCAGCTTTGCATGCCCTCACTTTCAAGACAGGAAGAATCAGAGGCATTCAGATGGTTTTGCTGTAGTAAAATCCAGCCAATTCTTCCTTCCACACTTCTACAGGAAGTCCTTTTGCTCTTTGAGAGCACTCATCCTCCTCCTGCACACAAGCAGTGAGCACAGAATGGTGAGCACACTCGGTGTATTTGACTGCTGTGGTCTCATGGAGCTTAATGTTGGTTTCACCTCACATGCAGAGAAGAAGGGAGCCAAACCTTCATGGAAACCCATATGCTGAAGAAAATTAAGTATGCCTTCTGAAAATAACACACCATCAGTTTCAGCCAATATATACTTGTGTTAATACCACTGTGAATCACAAAGCCAAACCCAAACTTTGCTCACCTTCTTCACGTGATTTGTCCAAAATAAGAGTTCAAACAGCCTGTTGTAACCAGAGACAGAAAATACGATTCCAAATCACATAAAATCATATCCAAATCTGGAGACATTATGTCCTGAGAATTGCATAAATGCACCCTTTTTTGGAAAAAATGGGTTCATTTCACAGACAGCCTGTTACCCAACTTAGAGATCTTTACATATGCTTTTGCATCTCCCTTATGAATTGTCTGCTGGAGTTTCTGACAAAGCTGGTGTTTATATGAGTTGTCCAGTGGTACTTCTTATAGTAGCATCCCAAATATCACTCTTCCTTTTCCGTTTGTCTTCCTTTTCCATTAGTCTTCTTTGCAGAGAGTTTGCACACTGATACTGTATAGTATATTACAAAAGTTCCCAGTGAATTAATGAACACTGTTTTTAAAGAACCATTTAAATCCGCTAATAAGTCTACATTTAGCCTTAGAGAGCAAAACAGCCTTTTCTACTTTACCATGATAAAGTGTCTAAGAAAATGTTTTGTTTATTGTTCAAGAACACAAACTCATAGGAAGTTCATGCAGAACTGTTCAGAAGGAACTGCTATCCAAATGAATGTGGTAGCAGTCCAGGGTCAAGGAAGAGTATGGGATGACCTTTAAACAGGAAGGGAGGAGTACGAACAAAGACATTTTCTTCCTCCTTTCTGTATTTCCAGCTGAATAGTTGTGGCTTGCAACATGTACTATTCCCTTCTGCATTCCACAAGAAGAGAACAGGGGAAAATGAATACCCTGAGCCAAAACCACCTCTCAAATTTTTGCCTGAACGTGACCCTCTGAAAAACATACAGCAGTGGCAAAGCCAATAGACATGTGGAAATAGCATAAAGGAGAGAGCAAATGGCACTCAGATGAGAAAAGGCTTGAAACTACAAATTGATGTTACATGGCTACAATATGTCAAGCATGCTCATTTACACTTAGGGCTTCCCAGGACCTAGAAGCAATCTTTTGCTTTAAGATTAATATAGCTTCCCAGCACACACAGTGCACTTCATAATTGATGCAACTCAAGACTTGCTGAAAGGCTTTCTGGGAACAGGCAAAGGACAATTTCCTTTTCTTTGTTTTCTTTTTTTTTTCTTCAAGCATTAGATAACCATGAAATATGACAGAGCTCGCATTCCTAGATAAAAGTATTTCTAAATATTGAATATTAAATAACAGTAATTCCATGCATTTTACATTGTGCCTATCATTCTGAGAGATTCTAAAAACCTTTACAGAAGAAAATATTTGGCATAGAGATCCTAGTTTCTATTTCAGTTGGGGCATGGGTGTCACAGTCAGATTTTATTCAGTCATTAATGAAATTCTGCCATACAATTGCAAGATTTGCTCTGTGCAACCTGCAGAACTAGAGATCAAGCAATGTATCAACAATAAGGGCTGTAGGTCACTTATAAGGCACATTCCCAGCAAAGATTAGCTATGTTTTTCATTTCAGCTGCCAAGCCTATTCTTTAATGCACTTTAGAACGGTCCAGAAACCTGACAAAGAAAAATAAAACAGAAGGGGAAAAATGAGGTCCTGTCATATAAAATAATTCCTTTTTCTGACAGGTCTAATAAAATCAAAGTTAAAACTAGGGTTACAGACATGATTGTTGAGAAATACATCTGGTGCAGGTAGCTCAGTTTGCAAGCTGCAGATTGAGATGCTGGTTGACATGAGGACTGAGTGGATGGGAGCCTGAGACAAGAGCATGGTTAATGAAGAGTAGGAAGATAGGTGGTCCCAGCCAGGTGAATGGACACTGAGAGATATAGCAGTGAACTGCCAACCTATGGGATAACAAAAGGCAGGAAGATCAGTAGAGCCAGTCAAGTGGATGGACACTGGGAGACACAGCAGGAGTAAAGGACTCTGGAGGAAGAGGGTGTCCTGCATGCAGCTTGGACTGTGAGCAGATAAAAACCCAGAGTTTCCTTGGTTGGGGGTCCTCCTTGGAGGCGCCCAGATCAGACTGTTTCTCTGTTACCACACCATGAATTAACTGCTTTACGTAATTAGACATCTGAGACTCTGCTATGGAAAATCTGGGGTCAAACCAGTAAGGAAACCTCGTCTGACTGTGTGTGAGTGGGGTTTGTAGGGAGTCAAACGAGGCACCCGTTGGCTCAGCTAGAGTTGCCCACTGTGAAAGGGCTTCGGTACCAGCAGGGAAAGTCTCTGGTGCTGGGAGTGTGACTGTCAGAGAGTCTTGTGAATGGTCAGACTGGGAAGTTTCCTAAACACGACAGTGGAGAAGATGGGTATAATAGTGGTGTCTCCACTTTCAGACTTAAAGTAGCAATGAGATGTAGGCCTGATTTGCCTGTGGGATTTTAAGTCCAGTATCTCTGAGATGAGTGCTTTAATTTGGGGCGTCAGTGTCTTCCAAAAGTGTGTTGAACTCAGTGCTCTCATACCGAGACCTCAATGTCACTCACTTAAAATGGAGGCAATAAGAAAGTGGTTGTATAGGCTGGTGGAGATGACATCCACTAGGGAGAGAAATAACTGAGAGGAGGGATCATGTTCTGAAAACACACAGCAAGAAGAAAAATAGAAAGTAGTCTAGATTACCTCTGATCCTCATGTGAGAGAGGAATAAGAAATGAAATTTTAAAATTTCACTAGGCAAAAATTAAGTTGAATTTCAAGGAAAATCTGAATTAGATTAACCCTAAAGCAGGAAGCTAAAACTAATTGTTGCATGAATACCTCGAGGGTATTAAACTTTTAGCTTGCACAACACAGATCTCTCCAGTTCCACATAACATCAATCACTCTGATGACACAGTTATCTCAGAGAGCAAAACCAAGAAGCACAGTTCACAGCACTGTAGGTCTAGCCAAACATAGCCTTGGCTGGCCCAGCCCAAGCCTAGCCACAAATTCCAGTTTGGATAGAGCTCTCAGTGATCTCCAGCCCACTCGGATCAGGAAACCTTTCTCTTCAGGTTTATTTACTTACTGGTTTTTCTTCTGGGCTCCCACTGGGCACCTCCACAACTCTGAGGTCATGGTCCACCCTCAGTCTTGCCCTTGTGACAAACTGGATGACTGAGGAACTGTCCTGAGAAGTAAAAAGAGGAAGAACTGGATTTAAGGGTGCAAAATAACAAAAACAAAACCACCAACCCCCCAACAAAAAAATACCAAAACCAAATCATCAAAATTTGCCATTGTAATAAAAACATCTAGAAAATGCTTAGTAGAAGTTAGGCTGACAGTTAAATATTAGCCTGGTTAAAACACCGCTTTGAAAAAATATTCCTTTTGCTCATACCAGACAGATATAACTGAGCATAACATTTCAGAATAAAACAAAATCAGGTATGTTGGACTTTAAACACATACTTTGTATTAGGTTTGTTCATGTTTCCCACATCTATCAAAAAAGTAAGACAGAATATTGCCAATAACACAGGCAGGTTCAATATTAACCATGAAAAAAACTTCTGAATTGTTTTTCAAGTGAAAAGAAAAATGATACACAAAATCTGGGATAAACTCCAATATAACCCCAGGGGAAAACTTCTTAATTATTAGAATCTGTGCATGGCAGATATCCCAAATATTTACTGTACATCTCATCTTACTGATATATATATTTCTGCCATGAAATGTATGGTGCATTTGGACAGGCACATTTCAGTAAGAAGCCATTTCAGCTTAGAGGTTAGTCACAGTTCACCTTGGGAAGAGCAGGTGGTAAGTAGCAAATGGCACACATTGGTGATACTGGCCCAAACACGTGTAAACACTGTGTATCTTTTAAAGGACCGTTGCTAGTAGCAATCTTGCAAGGCACCCAGTAGATGGGGTGAATCCTGGCTATTCCCAAATCTGAATTTTCCAGAAGCACATTTTGTGTGTACTCAGTTACTTCTTTACATATTTCAGCATTTCCATAAGCATGTAACAAATACCTGAAATTTCTGGCCCTGCCCATATTTCCTATTTTCAAATATGAACCATCATTAAGAGACCCATTGGTTTCAATTGGAAAAGCTCAAGGCTATCAATTACTTTAGCAACTGTTTTCTAATTAGAGCTCTCTCTGATGCATTTAATCTAGCATTTATCAAAGACATGTTTATTTTAGTAGGCTCATGTTATCAGCCTTCTCTTCTGGTTATCTTAAACCCTCATAATCTTAGAGCACCTTGCCACAATTAGAGAGTCAGCATTTTTGTAAGTAAAGGAAAACAGGTCAAAATGCAGTAAATCACTTAAAATTTAAGATTTGTTGTCTCATTCAGTGTCTTCAGAGAAGACAGAAATTAACTTGAAACCATTTGTTCCGTGTCACAAACATCAAGCTCAGCATTCATATGTTCATGATCCATCTTCTTTGAATAATAGTAATTTGAAATAAAAATGACCAAAAACTACCATCTCTCTGTTTACACAGAAAGAATGATACATAGCTGGTCACAGTTTATATTCACTTACTCTGCTTTTCGTTTTTCAGAATGAAAACTTTCAGAAATTAATTCAACTTTCAGAACTCTCTAGCCTTAACACCACACCCCAACCATTAGGGGACTCATTTGTTATTTCTCAATACATAAATTTCTGAACTTAGTCTATTCCTGTCTTAATGTGTAATGGGTAAGAACTAGGATTAACACCTCCATCGTACACGCTGTTGATAAATATATCTGTTTTCCTTGATACCACAATTTTTTTTATAACACACTAGTAGAGAGAGAAAGAAATTCAAGTTTTGAGTTCACTGGCACACATAAGCACACTTAACTTGGTCCTTAGGACAACCTACAAGGGAAGCACGTACCTTCTTGAGTATCTCAGTATTCAGCAGCATGTAGATACTTATATCACACGACTCTGCTTTGGGTAGTGAGCTTAAGTTGCAGTGCATAATTAAGCAGGACCTGCGTGGTGCTTCACAGTCCTATAGGAAATATGGAAAACGCTGTTAGGTGAAGGGGGTGAAAATTCAATGATAAATTGTGTGACAGCAAATACACCAGAAAACTAAGGTATAGAGTAAACTGCTGGAGTACAGCACTCTTACACTGAAATATCAGAAACTTTTAAGACCTGAAGACCTCTGGATACAGAGACCTGAATGAAAGCAAGCCAGTTGATAAAATTCAGCCCTCTATAGAGGTGCTGAGGCAGGCAAGCACCCTGGAAGGAGCAGGGTCACTGCTGCACATCAGCCCTCTGCGTGGCTCAGGCACCAAGTACAGTGCAGTGCCCCACTGCCCCCACGTGCCTTTGACACAACAGGAAAGTTCTGGTGATCAACTGTGTTATGTATTCACCAAAGTGTTGCTCTGCAATGAACAATCTGCTTCAGATCTTCCTGCCAAGCAGTGCAAAATCATTTGTAGACTATGCTGTGTGTTCAAGTGTGTCATAAGTGGTGCCATTTCTTACCAATACTTTTCTGCCGGACTTCGTGAAAAAAGCAAATATTGTGTGGAAAATATTTTCATTCTCTTGAGGAACAACACATGGGCTGTGGTTTCTGTGGAAAGAACAGCTTCCTTTGTCCTGGCCAACCTGCATGCACAATTATAAATCACAATTATCCCTGTGAATTAAGCTAAATTATACGAGAAGGTGGGATTAGCCTGTCCATAAAAATACACCTATGTGTGAGCTATATGTCTGGCCTACCATCAACTGCCAAAGGAAAAAAATAACCACTTTGGGAGTCAAATAAACCCAAAGAAAATATGGGAAGTAAGCCAGACAAACCATGTTTTGCAAACGCTTTGACTAGATAGGATATGAACATTTCTAACCTAGCTCTACATGTCTGAAGATAGAGATAGAGGAGGAAAACCCCAGCAAAATACATAAAATCACCATGTAGCATTTTAAGTCAACAGTGTTACCCTTTGTATAACCTTTTTCATAACTGTATTTATTTGACGTTTTGGCCAATTCAGCTGTTTCCCTGCTTATATCAGACCTAATGAGATAAATGACATCTTCCTCTAAATGCTCAATCTAGACACTCTTTTACCTTCAGTGGCAATAAAAAAAAAAATTAAACTTTTTCGATCATTAGTGTTTTCATTTGTCCAGCAAAGTAGATGACTGAAGCAAGTGAAAGGGACCAAGCTCTGTTAAAATGAGTTTCAGTCAAGATAACCTTGTTCTAGAAAACCTTTCTCAATTTTTGCAGCTTATGAATATTCACTGAAGAAAATTTACCAGAATTTAATAAAATGTATGCCAAAAAAGTATCAGCAAATTACTCCTGCTGCTATCCTTAAAACCTGTAAGAGTGAGAGAGAGAGAGATTTTCCCAGAAACCACCAACTAACATTCTTACACATCCTGCTGCTGACATCCTCACACCCTCTAACGGGATGAAAACTTGTACCTTATTCTCATAAAAAACCCTTGAAAGGGTGGAGGGAGGAAAAGAGTTGTTAAAGATATGAAATTGCTGCATGCTCTGAGTCTGATTAGGCACGAAATACTTAAGTATTGCAAAAAAGAAGCAAAACCCAAAGATCTATTTAGACTTTAAACATTATTTTCCAGATAAGTGATGTCTGTGTCTCTTGGAAAAATGTACCTTTTCTGACCCCCAAGTCCTTAGTAATCTGTTATTTGAAGTACATATCCATAACATGTCTTTACATAACATGTCCTTACATTTCTAAGAGATACACCTACAGTTTACAGTCTCATTGGCATAAACTGAAAATTAAGATTATGATATTCATCATTTGTCCAGATCACCTGAAATGAGTTTTCATTATTTATTGTAGGTAAGAGACTCACAAAGCTCATGGACATCCATTTTCTTTGATCTTTCTTCACATGGAAATTAGATCCATATCAACTTCGAAGGTTTATGTTAATTAAGAGTAGCAAAAAGTCAAGATGTATTCAGTACTTCTCTTCTTCAGTACTTGCTCTTTCTTCCTGAGAATTTAAATTACCAGACACTTGGACAGATGTCACCAGATTCATACAAGAGATACAGGAAGGACAATAGGAGCTTCTGCACTATACCAGCTTTTGGCATACTATCCAAATAGTCCTGCTTTACATCCTGTAAAAATGTGGTGTAAGAACAAACCAAAGCAGAAATATCTCACAAAACTAAAAGGAATTATGTAGTATGAAGCAACACGAAATCGGTCCTTTCTCCTCTAAATGATTATCTTTTTTTTAACTGAAGGTTGGCCTTTTCAAAACGTTTTAGCTGAAACAGAGAAAGGCGCCTCTAGAGGACCAACTCTGAACTTAGAAAGATTCAGTCAACCAGTCAGAAAAAAACTGGCCAACTTTTCAATAAACTGTTTTCAATGAAATATTCAGCTGCAGGAAAACAATCAGGTAAATAAAATCTTAACATAAAGCTCCAAAATTCTCCTCAGCATCATGCTGAGACTGAACTGCAGCTGTGACGTACAAATCAGGATTTGGCCTCATTGTAAGCCTCTTGTTCAAACATGATGCTGCCTCAGCCACCTGTTTTTCTCCTTGTGACCAACTTCATAATTTGGTACACAGGAAAGAGAATTTCTGGCAAAGTTTAGGGGCTTTGCATGAGCAAATGCTTATGATGCAAGAACTGTACAAGTCTTTGAAATGGAATAGGAAGCTAGGCTCTTTGTCAGACTTAAGAGTTTCAGGGTACATGGCAAACCAGAGTTTTTTGGAAATTTTCGTGTGGTCTCAGCAGCCTATAAACAGAAGAGGACTATCCCCCAGAGCGATCTTCCCAGGACCTGGGATCCAATGTCTCACAGAAACAGCAGAAAGGATTTATTTTTTGAGGAGTGAATAGGATGTGGAAAAAGATGTGCATTTCCTTTGTACTCAGTGCAAGGACTTTACAGAAGCCACAGAGAAATGTCAACATTCAACTCCTAACACAAACAAACAATAAAACTGGGGTGGGGGGAACAGGGACAGAAGGGAGGCTTTATTAAATTCCACTTTAAGACTGCAGATTGGGAAATAAAAACCTGCCCTAAGAGAGGTACCAAGCAGGAACAGCTTCTCAAGGAGGGACTTCCAAGGAGCTGTGTTGCAGTTGTCTCTGCTGAAGGTTGTTTCATTCTGTTTTCCAGAAGCTAGTTACTCATTTTAAATCCTGAATAAAATAATTTGCAGCCTGGTGCTGGCAACACAGAAAAGTGTATGGGAAGTATACCTAAAATCTATACCCAGCCAAAGGTAGACAAAGTGTACCTTAACACATAAAGTAGGCCAAACCCAGGCTAACTGCATGGCATCCTCATCACCTGATGTCCATATTACACTCTTTTCTAAGTTGCTCTGAGTCTGGTCCTGAGGCCTAAATGTGCTGCAGTCACAAATGAGTGGCTGACCTAGCAGATCTCATTGAACAGCTTTACACTGAGAAAAAAAAATAGCATAAAAATAATTTCAAAGACCTTAAATTATTTTTTAATTTTTCTTCTTTATATTCAATAGTCTATGTTGTCACATGCAGTCTAGACTACTACACATATCCTGAGTTTTTCTGGGGTAACAGCATAAACTTTTAGTAACACAAAAGTAGATACTACTAGCTACTAATCCTAGCATTAAACTACTGGAAAACTTTTCTAATTAAAAAAAAGTATTCTTTGCAAAGAAATTACATTTTCAGAGTATCAATTCTAAACTGAAAAGTTTGTAAGGGGGTAATTTTCTGATGGAAATCCCAACATTTTCACAAAAAATTGATAACTTGATATATTTATTATTTGTCTTTGTTATTATTAGAATGAAGCATTCTTTCACTATCTTGAGTATCTTCAACTTTCACGTGAGGTAAACCAACACCAAAAACAAAAGTAAAATTGTCCCACGCAAGGTATTATTTACAATGGTTTCTTTATACCAGGCTGTACATGCATAAGGATGTTACCATTTCCTAGCAGTCTTGTCATAGACTGCAAAATACCTAACATCAACAAACACATCATGTGTGTTGTTTTTTTCTAATTTTTATCTCAAGTTCAAAGGCATTTTTGTCAAACTGCTCAATCCCAAGCTAAATAAAAGTTAAAAAAAAAAAAAAATCATTCTGATACTCACTGTGGAATATCAGAGTGATTAAAGCCAGGACAGCATGCACTTAGATCTCATCCACATTCTTGAACGTTCTGTTGATGTCAGAATAGTCATCAACATTTCTCAATAACAACACATTCTTGTCAGGTGCCTCACTCGGGCACCTAACATGTGGCACTTAAAATCATCATCTTTCAGAAAGTTTTAGGTGGACATCCAAAATCTAAGGGACAGAAAATCACTACTTGCTCACACACATACACACACACACACACACACACACACGTGAATTCTCCTACTGTATTCAACATGAGAGCATGTACGTGCAACTTGCATAAACATGAAGAGATATAAGCCAGAACATTTGTACTACCCAGACTGTAAATGGCATCTTGTGTAACAGGCCTCTACAAAGGCTGACAATTTACTAATCTACTATCACTGCAGAATAAGCTTCATGCTGCTTACTGTACCCATTCCAACCCAGATCATTCTAGGATTCTATAAAAGGCCACACACTCATTGAGACAAGTTAGCCTCTTTAGTCTCTAGCTTTGTTAATTTACTGGAAGTTGCTGTCCCCTTGAAGAGCCTATGAAGATGCTTAAGCGAAATTTAAATAGGACTGCCTTCACCATGGGTTACCCTGCCAACTTTTTGCTGTCAGCACAAACCACTAAGCTTCTCAGAGGAAAGATATAACCATCAGAGAAAGTATGCACATCATTACTTCATGCTTTAAAAATGTTCCATCTGCAACAAGGAAGAAATTACCACAGGATGACTTTAGTGGATTCTGAATATTTGACTCTGTCTGACTTTTGTCTTACAGAGCAGGGCCAAACCCACAAAGTAGCAATGGTTTTTAATGATGTAAGATCACACTACTCTGAAGAAAAAGTGTCAGGAAGGACATTTCAGAGTAAAACAGACCATGAACACTCCACACATACTACATCCTAAAAAAATGGCAGGATATTTAATAGGGCTGTATGGGAATAGTGTGTTGAATTTATTATGTACACAGGGATCATCCTCTCTGACTTTCCCTGCATATGTAGGTATTTATGAGAATACTTGGGCTTGGCTTGTCACTCTAACAAGTACCAGTGCATAGGGGACAATTGCCACATATTTCCCTTGAAACACAGAGGATAACCCAATGAAAAACTTCTTGCCAAGAAGCCAGGTCAGTCGCGGGTAGCTGGAGTTCCTAGGAGAAATAATACACCTGCTGCTTCAGCACATTCCTGTTCTGCCATCAGCTCTGTCTCCCAGCTTCAGGGTATACTTGCAACATAATTTCTCCTTATCTGCAGCTACTTTAAGAATATGGTAATTTTTAACAAGCCTTTGGGATCTTTCAGAAATTCTTGGGGTTTGTTAGCAAATAGTGTAAGTTTAGGCCATACAACTTGTAACGTGAACTTCACAGGTGGACTGAAAGCCAGTGGCCTCTTCTTAGATTTAACCTAAACCTATCAACATGCATCAAAGGCAAGATCTTT